ATTTTCAGAGCTGAGAGTTCAAACAGAATGACGTCAGGAATCTGTCCAGCTTTTCTTTGTCACTCCACATTAGGTTTTTACTCTGCCTTCACCCCTTTACTCTGCATTTCATCCCACGGCTTTCTGGCAAGGAGATATCTGAGCATCCTTTTCCAGGAAATAATGTAAGGGAAGCTTAAGACCCAGGTACGGTTTATATTGTTTGACTGGACACTAAAAGTAGGTGTTTTTGATGAACTAATTTCTTTTCTCATCTGTTCTTCTTTTCATCTATTTCCTAATGCCAAGTAGTTTCCCAACAAATTATTCTCAAACAACAGAAGAGAATAATATAATAACCATAAGGACGTAATGCTTCACTGTGTTTTGAAGTAACATTATTTCTCAATCTCATATTGTTGCAGATAATTCTTTTCCCACAATACAATTGAGTGAATCATTCTGGATGAAATAAGGAAAATGTGAAACCTAAGTGTTTGGTTTATTAGAAAAGTTGCCAACAGTTAAGCAAATTGCGTCTGTAAAATTCATTTGAACTTATGTTCATTTATCCTCAACTCAACGATTTAACCCTTGCTTATGTTGTTTTCCTTTGTTTTATGAAGGTTCAAGGTTCAAGGGTAATACCAGCTGATTTAAGAAAAGATTGAAGATCTTCCAGTGTATATGTATAGAAATATTGTATCAGTTAACTAGCTGTAGTGAAACTAGTGTATACTTTCCCACTATTTTCAGAAAAAGTGAGATTTTGGACAGATGGGTAAGTAAATATTTTGTCATTCATTTACAGATTTCAGAAGAGAAAGTACAAACCACAGACAGCAGATCTTCCATGCTCTGGAGTCAATAAATTTTCTAACAAGTCTTAAACTTCCAGTACTTGAAATACTTACAAGCAGGAGGGGGACTGACATTTTATGTGGGTAGGAGTGATATGGCAAGGGCAAAGGAATTTAAACTGAAAGACAAGAGGTTTAGATTAGAGATTATGAAAATTTCTTCACTCAAAAGGTAGTGAGGCACTGGCACAGGTGCCTAGAGAGGCTGTTGATGCCCCATCCCTGAGGGCATTCAAGACCTGCGCAAGGTATGTGCAGTGTGGTCTAGTGGCTGGCAACCTTGCCTATGCAGAGGGGTTGGAACTAGGTGGAACTAAGCCATTCTTTGGTATAATGTTATGAAAGTTACAATGAATTAGATTCAGATAAAGATTCTTTTTTATTATTATTTATTTATTTATTTTGCATATTTTTCAGATGAGTTTCACCAACCAAATTCTGTTGTTTTTTTTTTTTTTCTCATAAAGTTTATCATAAGAGCCTTTTATGATTTGTTTTCTATAGAACATCGAAGTGCTATTGTTTTCAGTGATGTAATATTTGTATGCTTTCAAACTCTGGTTTAAGCAAAAATTTTTAGTAAGGTGTCTTAAGAACAGAAGGGCAAAACAACTGATTTCTTCAACTGTTTAACTTATAAATAACACGCCTATAACTTAACCTTTTCAGAGCATTACAAAAGCAATGTCACTATCTCTTTAATCGCAGTACCTGAAATTCCAGTTAACCTTTTGCATATTATCTACTGTTGTTTATTCTTAAGGTCAGGTTAGTTTGTTCTATTTTCTTTGTTGCCAGTTGTCTTTGGCCTTCATTGCATATTCTTCTAAACACAAATCTGTCATTTTAATACTCTGTGCTTTTATAACCTCTGTGAAGTGTTTCAGTAATAGCTACCAAATAAACAAAATGCAATGCGGTGGCAAAACTGTGGCTACATACTCTAGGATAAAAGGTCCCTAGTTATCCAGCTGAAACATTGGAATACAACACTGAGAGGAGAAAAGCTGGAGCAGCCAGTGGAGCAGTCCTTAATCATTGTGATCATGCAACTGAGACACCTCATGCATTGGCGTCTTAAAGATAATTTTCGTAATTAAACTCTCAAGGGGAACTATTAAAGAGAATAGCAAATTATGATCATCTTACTCTACATGATTTGTGCACCTGAACTGCCTGTGTGATGTACAGTACCAGATCCAGAAACATGGAGAATGTCTGAACAATATAATCTTCCTGTGGCCATCCTCACACATAAGGCTGGACCAAGGGCCAAGATTTGGAAAATTCTAGAGGAGTTTTCTGTTTGTCTCATGCAGTCTCTTGTATTTTCAGCCACTGTATTTAAATCAGTGGGAACATCTGCAGAGAATAGAACAGATTAAAGATTTGGTTAATTTTGAATTTAACACAGTGAGCTGTCCTAAGTTTCCTGCAGTTATTTTTCACTTTCTATTAGCATGCGTCATTGGATATGGAAATGGTTTACAGAAAGAATATGTATAGACTCTTCCCTCTACTTAACCTCAGAAAGACTTGTTATATTTCAGCAAAATCTTTTAAAATAGAATTGATACAGAACCAACAGTCTTGTCTATGCTAGTGTCTCTTTTAATAAAGCAAATGTAAACAAATAGGACTACTTCTATAAGAGGGAATCTTACCATATTAATAAAAATTTTGATGCAGAACTTTACTTGTTTAGAGACTTGTCACAAAGGATGGCACTTTCTTGAGGATGGCACTTTCTCTGGTCCATAAATACAATTAATTCCAGGTTTTATTTTATAATATTTACAAAAATTTGCTTTCAAAACCTGAAAACTAGTTCAGATTCTCTTAATGTTTGTTCTTAATGCCTTTAATTGCAATGAATTTAAACTGCGCTGTTGAAGTATCTAAATACTGTACTAGTTAGTACAATATAATCCATGTGAGCTTTAGTCATATGAATTACCCAACACCAATTTTAATAGCTGGGCCAGGTTTCAGCTATAAAGTAAAGATATAAAAAAAAAAGATTAAAAAATAATTAAAAAATATTAAAAAATAATAAAAAAAAAGATATAAAAAAAGGTTAAAGATAAAGATAAGTAAAATACCCACATGGGATTAAAGAGTCGTCTGTTGTGCTACTAAATATCTGGAACAACAGCCCCAGATAGCAATTTAATCAAGATCTTTCCATTCCCTCTACTCAGATGTTCATTAAACAAATCAACATCCTCAATTCAGCATTTTGTTGTTGTTGCTAGCAATTTCAAAGTACAGTTGTTGCCTTTGCCTATATGAAAGAGATGCAATGGAAGTTCCCTTTCCTTTTTAGCCAGGTTTTGAAAAATTATTTGAATGCCATGTTCATGCAGAAATTCCCCATTTCTCCCTCCAGAGTTTCCACATGCTTTCTATGAGCAGAAGACAGCCCACCAAGAGGCAGGCTCAGCATATTAGCATGGCAGGCCAAGGAGTTCAGATACCCCAATGAAAACAGACTTGCTAAGAAGTAGTTCTGTGTCCCCACAGTATACGTTGCTCAACTTTATCTCTGGAGAGGGAGCAGAGAGCTCAGAAGAATTCACAAATGTTGCCTTTGTTAATGGCTTTCTATGCTATTGGTTACATATTGTAGATATCTGTAGATATTTCCCACAGGCTATATAAGAAAACTGGGCAAGCTGCACCAGTTATTTCTTTACTTTCTACGGAGATAGAAAACTGTGCTTTGCAAGACCTTACCTAGGGGTGTCTTGCTTTTCTGGATCTCAGACTAAACCCTTTGTTCAAAATTTGCAGGATTACAAAGAGTTAATGCTGACTTCAGGAATCTGTAGGTTGGATTGTAAAATCTCCAGCCTGCAAGAATATTCAGGCTCCTCTACCCTTATCTGTAGCAATTGCTTATGCAAAGAAAGGACGTGCTGTTTTACCTCTTTGTAAAAGAAGTCCAAAGTAAACCTTCAGAAACATACAACAAATGGCCAAAAAATGGTCTTAATATTCCCTAACAGAATTGGAATGCTCATCCTGCAATCCCAAGCTGGTTTAGGAAAGATCATTGCACCTTTGAAACAGAATCTCTTGCTAAAGAAATATTCTTGAATAATTTTTTCAATGTTGACTGTACTTTCTGTGCTTCCTATGCTGAAACGGATGTTCTCATACATATTTCAGTGAGGGCTTTTTTGGTTGTTTTTTTTTTTTTTTTTCATTTTAGCAGCTCTCTGTGAAAATTTCTTTTTATATGTGATTAATGTCACTTTTTAACATGTGTCTGGGTTTGCTGGCACTGTATAATCCTTGCAAAATCAAAATCCAGAGGAGCTGGCACAGGAATTTTTGCCTGCAGGAGCATATTTCTCTTCTTTTTGGTACTTGCCAAAAGTAAGAGAAACATCTTTAATTGGCTCGAGTAAGGAAAGAATAGTTTTGAATTCTAAATATTTCTTATTTTGAATTTGGTTTGAATAACATGGCACTGTTTAAATTGCACTATTTAATCCACCCATGCTACATTTTTCCCTTTTCCAAAGGAAAATCATTGCAGTATTTGTGCCTTTAATATTGTGTTAGAGAAGTACAGAAAATAATGCTGAGAAAGAGAAGCAGGTGGTCATCTTATCCAGACAGGATTTGCTGGATAAAAATCCTCAAACCTTTATGCAAACTGCTTTTAAAAATCTTTGGTGGTGAGAACTTCACCAGCTTCTGAGACCATGAGCTAGTACTTAATCAAAACCTTAGAAAGTCTGTATGATATTCAAGCTGAATTTTCCTGCTGTGATTTAATCTCCTCCCGTCCTGTTCAAGAGTGAAGAACAGACCCCATTCTCTTTACAAGTGATTTATAAACGAAGATTGCCATTATTTTTCTCTTCAGTCATTATTTTTTAGATTATGCAGTTGCTTCTAAGCCATGTTCACAGGTCATTATTTCTATGTCATTATTTCTAGACTTCTCTTCAAGCTTGTGATACACTTTACAATTGGAGTGGGATGAAGGTCTTGGAAGAGGAAGGCAGGAAAAAGTGAGGGGCTGTTTTCTCTCTTATAAATGAACTCAGGATACAATCCAAGAGCTCAAGCCAGCCCTGGCAAGAATGCACAGTATGGAAATCTCAGGTCATTGACAGAGAACAGGATTTAGTCAGCATGAGCTGGGGTCAAAGACTAAGTTCTTCACACTGATTTCTGGAAGTAACCTTTGGGCTTTGTAAGTGATGAAAACTAGAGACTGTTCCAGCAGAGGCCTCACAAATGTTGAAAAGAATGGTAGGAAAATTTCATCTTCCTGGCAATTGGGACTTTTCTTTATATATCTCTTGAGTTTTCTTTATATGTCTTTGGATAATGATTGTCTCTTTGTTGCATGAAGCTGCTGAATTTTGTTTAGTTTGTCATATTCTATAAGCACTCAGGCCTACTGTATCTCTTTCTTCATTTTTGTCCTCCTAAATATGGATCATTTAATTCCTTCTTATAGTATTTCATCCTTTTTTTTTTCCAGATCATTTCTCCAACTTGTTAAAATCATTGTGAGCTTTAATTCTATCTGTCATGCAGCAGTCATGCATCTACTTCCAAGACACGATACTTATTAATATAAAAAGTATATTCTTCAGTCTGTTACTCAGATCACTAGAGGTACTTCTGAGCACAACTGCTGTCTGAGCAGTTATGGAATCTCAGCCAGCACCTTCTTGTTTGGCAATACACTATTAGCAGTTGTCACATGAATAAACTTTTCCTAGAAGTTCTGTGCACACCTTTATCAAATTTTCCTTTCAAATTTATTGTTTTCTGAGGATGTAGCCTTTGCTTCAGTGAGCCTGACTGTTATATAAAATGGTAACAAAAGCTTAGCTAAATCAAATTTCCTGAAATCTGCTGCCTCTTCTACAAAAGTAGTTTCTGGAGCACAAAAGTTGAGGAAAGGAGGCTCAGGGTTGACCTCACTGCTTTCTACAAGTGCCTGAAAGGAGGTTGTGGCAAGCTGAGGATCAGATTCTTCTCCCAGGTAACAGTTATTGCTTGTCCTATCAATGTTACACAGAAAAGGGGAGGTTCAGATTGGATATTTGGAAAAACTGCTTTCTCAGAAGAAGTGGTAGTGCATTGGAACAGGCTGCACAGAGAGGTAGTGGAGTCACCATCGCTGGAATTGTTCTAGGAAAGGGTGGTTTAGTATATGGTTTAGTGGACATGGTGGTAGTGGCATGATGGTTGGACTAGATGATCTTAGTGATATTTCCAACCTTTATGACTCTATAATTTTATGATTATATTGTTCCCAACCTTAGCTGGTGTGGCCACCAATCCATTTGCTTCCCAAGCATTTTTACCTTGTATGTTGTCAAAAGGCACCCACTAATACTGGTACTCTTTGGACAGGAGTGGCACAAGAGAGAGCAGTGTTACAGGGGCCTCAGCAGCGCTGTAGAGCTCCTGCCTCTCCTTACAGATGCCAGGATGCTTTCAGAGCAGCACTGCCAGCCACGTGTACACCTTGCAAGGAGGGACTGTACTGGAAAAGAATAATAAATAAAAATGAGCCTAGTAGATTAAGGAACAAAATGTGTGGCTTTGATTTATGCAATTAATGCATCAATGAAATTTCTTTTGTAATGACTCTCTTTAAAACAAAATATTTTGTAACTTTCCATTTCTTCATGAAGCTGACATAATACTATAAAGATACATTTGCTGAGTTTGGAAAGTCTACTTTCTCTTAGTACCTTATTAATTACAGTCTATATTCTTCTGCCTGCTGTCTCCTGACTGTATAGAATGAATTTTCTGTTGAATTAAATAAACTCCTAATAAAAGCAACGAAGGGAATTTTGCAATAGATTAAAGTGATACATAGAAAAAGGGGTCTTTGCACATCTCTTAGCTACCTATTTATTGGAGAATTTCTCAGTTCTCCAACACTTTTGTATTAGGAACATATATAAATACACATACTGTGTGTGTGCATGTACATGCTTGCAATAAATACACATACTGTGTGTGTATGTACATGCTTGCATTTTGTCATACATTGTTTGGTAACATGCCATACTCTGTTTGGTAACATCAAAACTGAGATTCCTGAAAGAGTACTACCACAGAGCTGAGCACTCTAGGTGCTTTAGACAAATAACATGCAAGTACTAAAAGCACAACTTTTATGCATAAATCTTGCAAATGAACAAGTGTAAATTAATCTTTTTAATATCTATTTGCAATCTATAGAGGTAAATAAATTACAGCACAAAGTGATTTAACATCAAGCTTGCTGTTTTGTTTTTACAGTGTGTTTGAACATTCGCTTCACTTCAATTTAGGAATTCAGTAGAACTAGGTCAGGTATATTGTGCATAACTGAAATTTATCTTAGATTCAGTAGACATACAATTCTGCAATATCATAACAAACAGGTAAAGTAAAGCTAGAGAAATGAAAGTTTGGATCTTCATGATGAAGCATCTTCATTAACAAAGCAGATCTGAAATAAGTGATTGTCGATCTATCAGCATAAAATTTGGATGCCATCTGAATTAGGAACTAGCAGTGTGAATTACTAGTGGCTACCCCAATATTTCCCTTGTGTTATATGCTTCCAAAACAAGGAAACTAATATAGGAAGATAAGTAACAATGCTTAACAGGATGGTTTATTTCCATGTATGTACATTTTTACCAGTTTTAATTTTCCCAAAAATCTTATCAGCCACAGTAGCTCAATATGCAGAAGACATCCTTAGAACTGAGAAAGTATTGTCTTTATTCCTCTGCAGTATCTTGCCACTACAAAGGCTAACTTGTTTGTTGATCTTGTTTACACTCCTACTGTCTCTACTTTGTGTGAAGGTTTTCACTAAGAATTTTCTTGTGTACTTTCATAGCAAACTCATCTGCATCTCTCTCTTGCTAGTTCATTTTTCAGAACACTCTGTGAGTGTTCTGAGGAAATAATGCACACTAATGAGGAAATAATTCATACTAATTTTCCTGCTGATTCCTGCATAGCTTCTGATAATTTCTCATGACTGCCATTACAGCTTTTTATTCATCTTTGCTGAGAGATTTTCTCAACAGTATACTGTAGTTAATCAACATTCCATTTTTCACTTCACCGATATTAAACATGATCAATTTCCAACAGTGCTAATTTGAGATTATTGTTTTAATGCCAATATAATGTAATTGTGTGCAAAGGTTTTGTTGAGTACTTTCTTGTGGAAAAAATAACTCTTCTGAATTTGAGGGAAAGCCAAATTAATTTTCGAATACTTGAACTGTGGTTCCTAAAAGATAGAAATAAGCACCAGAAATTTTTGTACAAAAAATGAAACAGATCCTGTTTCTGTGTAACCAGACAGAAAGTAGAAATATTGTATTTTTCCCAGGGCCTTCCATGGTGGAAGAAAAAGTGGAGTTCAGAGCTTGAACTGCAGGCTAAGCATTGGTCCATTTTTAACAATTTATATGAGCCAGGTGAAAAAGAGCTATTCATAGAGATAAGGATGCTGCACCTTTCTGCATGATGTAGAATTTCTATATTTATTTGATTTGAACAATAACAATGCATTATATAAATAAATAAATAAAACAGAAACTAATTCATTACACAGTCCTAACTAATCCATATATGTAACTGATGTATGTCTTTCAGTGAATCTCAGAATAGTCTGTTAAAGCCAAGACAATTGGTTTTTTTTTAATCTTTATTCTTGATGGTCAAAGTTGCTACTTATACTCACAGGTAATATTGAGGTCATACTTCAAGCTTGAATTAGATCTAAATAAAATGGGCTATCTATTGTGTCTAGGCCATGGCACAAATATTGTCTTACTTCTAGTGGAGTTTCTTCTATGGCTGAGTCCATCTGTGCAGCAATTATCATCTCCAAAACAGCTAAGATGTATTAGCAAAAAAAATTAATTGAGGAAACTTTTACTCAAATAGAACCCTGTTAGTGTTCATAAATCCTCTCTGAAGACCTTGTAAATGTTTAACTGTTCCCAGTGTAAATTATTAACTGAATATGAACTTGAAATCATCTTCAACCAGCTGAAAAAAAGTACACCGTGACTGTTTTATATTTTGAATTAAATAGCTGTTCAGTTTTAATTAAACATATTGGTCATGGAATATTGTTCTAGCACAAACCTATATGTATCTAGAGCCTCCCATTCACCTTCCTTATGTTGATTGCCTTGCCATCCAGCAAAATAAGGGTTATAACTACTGAAATTAACACACAAATATGCCAGATGAATAATCTTCTTTCCTTGTTCTTTTTATTATTTTAATTCAGATTGTTTCCCTGAACTAGTTTGTGGTGTTGTTTTTTTTTTTTGTTTTTGTTTTTCTTTTTGGGGGGAGGGGGAGTGTTTGTTGTTGTTGTTTTTCTTGTTTTGAGTTAGTTGATTTTCAGAGGTTGAATAAAACTTTCTATATTGCTTGTTGATAGAGCAAGATTTCACACTGTCCCAGTGCTAAGACATTTCTGCATCAAGATACAAGTTCAGAACATCAGATCAGGGCAAATTAGATTAGGAATACTGGCCTGTCAATCAGCGAAGAAAAGTTACTCAGGAGCAGTAATCATTCAGTTTTTACAGCTGTTCATACACCAATCTTATCAGGTGAGTTCCAACAAGATAATCTCTCCTAATAGAAGGAGTAAGACCAAAGAGATAACTGGTAAAGTCTGTTTGCAGAAGATAAGCACCTATATTCTCATTCCTATTGTTTGCAACAACTTATTTCCAATTTCCTATGCTCCAACTACAAAGGTCTTAACCCCTGTAGAGGCTTAATAGTGCCACATCTCTTACTTTTCTTCGTGTTTGGCAAAGCAATCAGCCCAGGACATTTTACGTTACCATTCCTTTCTCCTAATCTTGTTACCATACTATGTGCCAGAACTCACTAAGTAGCCACTGAAATTATGCATTTTCATGTTACACTGACAGATCCTTTTCATACGTTCATAATACCTGTTTCCTTTTTAACTAGCTTCCACTCAGCATTGGCTACCCCTACAGCCATTATGCTCCAGTGTTTGGTCCAGGGATTTGCTTTGACCATTTCCTGATAGGAATGAAGAATGAAAGCAAGAACTACAACACAAGTTCTTCCCATCAATTCCAAGCAATGTACCTGCAGTGTATATTGGGTTTCCATATCAGAACGCATATTGTTAATGTGGGTGCCACCTTTGTTGTCCCAGACATCAACCTGACTTTCTTCAATTTTCTTCATCCTGGGCTGAAGAAACCATGTCTGATTGTACCCAGTCCTGCAGGATCTTCTTTGCTTTTCGAAGAACAATGGATTGTTTTTGTGGTGAAAAAAAAAATACAACAAATTTTCCAAAACACAGAAACTGTGTGTTTGCTGGTTGATAATCATCCCGACAAGTTGACAATTCAGGGTTTATGAATAAGCCATGGGTGACAGACATTCAAGGGGATGTAAATGTGCTAATTTTGAGGTGATTCATAACAACGGTCTTTTCTACAAGACAGATATTTCTTGTCATCTGTGGCTTAATGGTAGAAAGTACTTCCTTCTGTTCCTATGTAATCATCAAGAGGCAAAACTGAAACTTGTTCTTATTGCTTCACAATATTTTGACAGAGCAGCAGACTCAAAATGCTTTATGTTTTAACAACTTATAGCGACACAGAATGAAATTACATAATGACATTCATAGAGACTGCGCTGTGCCATCTCAGTTTTTGTGTTTCCTATAACATCCACATTCCTTATGGTGTGAGAGTAAAAGAGCATTTAAGTTGAAGCCCAAATGTTTTCCTTCAGTGAGAAATTCATTTCCCACTTTCAATGAAGTCACTGAATGAATGGCTTTGAAAAGCACTTCTAGTAGCCGCTTGGCTCACATCCCTGACTTCAGAACACTAACTGCAGCCTATCCTATTAATTTCTGGGAGCAAGTAGCAACCAGCACATTAGGGAGAGAGAGGAATGAATGAAGCTGCAGCATATTTCCAAGCTGAAGTTACTTTCTAGTACAGATTATCTTGTCTCAGGGCTTTTGAAAAGGTTTTGAATGGACATCAAAACAAAACTGAAACATTTTTGGAAGGAATAATGTTTTGGGCAATTTTTAATGAGTTATTGGAATGAAAGTGTAATGTTACTTTTTTTTTTTTTCCCTAAAACTGTCTAGTGTCTGCATTGGTGTAAGAGTGACTAAATTTTTGTGTGGGGGAGGGGAAAGGAAAAGGTTCTATTTCAGTTTAAATGTTCTTGACCTTCATTGGCTCGACCCAAGCAATCTGTGAATGAAAAGTTTACATGGAAATCTGATTGCAGTATTAAGTTTCAGGAAAAAAAAAATAGTTAATTATTTTATGTTTTCTTATTTATAAGTTACTGTGAGTAATTGTGTTACAAAGAAAACAGGATTCATCACTCATTAAATGAGATTACCTTACCTAGAAATTGTTTTCATTCTTGACAGTGCTTTTAGAAACCATTACCAATTTTGTAATAAGCTCCTTTATTCCCATTCAAAAGGTGCATCATGAAGATTCTCTAAGAAGCTCTGTCTAGAGACATCTATAAAAATGAGATTGAAAAGATTGATAAGTACTCTCCATTTTTTTTTCATATTTATGTTATTTAGTATTAAAATAATTTTTACAGTATGAATTTCTACTTTTTCCATATAAGATGTTAATAAGTCATATTTCACCCCTTCGATTATGCAACATCACAACTACTTTTTTTTTTTTTTTTTCAATCCTGAAATGGTCTTCCATTTTCCTTAATTCCTATTCATCTACATATGGGGAAAAAAAGAAATTATATATCTCACATATTTGCAGGAACACTTAATTTCTTCTTAGCAGCATCTAGCATCTAGCTAAAAAGTATTCCAACATGTAGCTTTCTACCTTTGAAAGGTTTTAGGCTTCAGTGGGTGAGGGTTTTCTCTGTTTTTAAACCTTTGCTGAAATGTAGAATAATAACGAGGATGCAGGACACATCATTAATGTGGTTTATAAGGCAGAGTTTTATGTTACTTCAATGATATTAAAGTAACTATTATTGTAATTTGAAAAGCATTTAAAAATACTGAATCTCTTTAAATAAAAATCATTCCGTGAAATATCTGTTCTCTATAAACTTTGTTCCTGACAGCTGAAAACCAAATCACCACACAAAGAAGCTTTGGTGTCAGTACCCAGCATGTACAGACGGTGTTGTCATGCCATGGAAACTGTGTTTTTAAATATAGAAACAGTGCATCTGTAGGACTTACTTTAAAGCAGAGAAGCAGAGCTGTGTTTTCCGTCAGTGGCATCTGCCAGGTTGTGGGTGATACTAGATTGTGGCAATATGGTTAAATTTGTTAGCTTGTGTATAATTATGCTACAGGAGAAAGGAATGTGCTTCACTGCCAGAAAAGGAGGAGGGAACGAAAGCATGAAAAGAGTTACTCAGTGAAAAGAAATCCAGCAACACCGTCCTGGGTAACGTCCATATTCAAAATTTGGATGGTGGGAAGAATTGTGGTTAATGTCCGAGGTAGTTTTCATTTGGATTTCATTCTTCTGATTTTATATGATTCAGCTCTCCCTCTTAAAAGCTGCACATCTTCTAGTTCACTGTAAGAATAAGTCTATTTAAGCCTTGTTATTATCAGGCCAAATATGAAACTTCTGCTTCTCAAATTCTGAATGTGTTTAAATTCTCTTTTAAATTGGAGCTAGTGTTTTTGGCATAGATGATCAGAATATTATCATTTGATAGTGTTGTTTCACTGCAAAAAAGGAACTGAAAATGTAGCCCAAAAGGAATTGCCAATTGTTTATCCTGTCTTCTGGTTTTTCTTCCTCCCCTCTATGGAAATTTTTCTACATGCTCACTATCTACTTTCCCTTTCCTTTTCTTCCCTTTCCCCATCCTTCTGCATTCTCTAAGTGCTCCATTCCCCAGTTCTCTTCCCACAAATGAGCAGGAGTCTTCTTTCCCCTACTGAATTTACCTCTCAAGGTTTCTGCTTCCAAAAATAAAGATTAATTCCCTTAATGCTCAGTGCCTTCCCTTCCATAATATTAATTGAATGATCACCAACAGTTTTTTTCATATGCAGACTTTTCAGTTTCTATGTTAAAATTGGAAAAAAAAAAAAAAAAAAAAAAAAGAAAAGAAAAAAAAAAAGAAAAGTTCTTCAATTCTGTGAAAAGACAAGTGGACAAAGAAAATTCCACATGCCAGTCATCCCATCCAGGTATGCAAGAGCAGCAGTACCAGAGCAACAATTTTTCTGCCTTCTGTTGGCACCCAGTGTGGAATTGCTGACATGTTTTTGTAAGTCCGTAAAATTTCTCAAAGATGTAGCAACAGTAGAGGGTAGAATTGTTTAACCCTGTCTAAAGGCTCCTGTGGGGCTTAAGTTTCATATAACTTCACTTTCTAATTTTAATGTTTTTATTTTATAGTATTCTTGTGAGATGGTTCTCATTGAAGGAATGAAAACAGTGCTGGTAAATTTAAGCTTTCTGATTCACCCACCAGTGATGAAGGGGAGAATGTAGTTTATTCACTTTCTGTGGTCTAGTGTTCAGCCACGATGTCTTGGCTTGTGTCTACTGCATCTGGGACTTCCAGATGTTCTCTTATCCAAGTACAGGACAAGCCCAGGAATGTTTGTCCTCCTAGGTCATTTGCATGAGATGAAATGTAATTGGAATTGCCTTTACTCTAGCTCCATCTTCAGTGGAGTTCAGATCATTTGAATCTGTCTGTTTCTTGATGTGCAATAAGTTAAGCTGAATTGTTAAAATAGACCGCATATTGTAGATTGATGAAACAGGCAATTTATATTAACCAGTTATGCTTATGACTTCAAAATACATGTGCAAACCATGTGAAATCTCATCACACAGCCATACACAGGCATTGGATCTAACAGGTAATATTGGAAAGGAAGAACTCCAGTATTACTGAAGTCCAGCTACTAGACGCCAAAACACCAGTGAGGAAAATGTACTGTCAGTCTCGAAAGGACGGTTCTCGCATAGCAATAATTCTATAAAAGATAATATACAGGGGGAAATAAAAAAAAAAAAAAAGCAAAGCCTGAACAAAAGTTGAAAAATATATCAGGATATAAGCAGAGCCTGAAAAAAAACCTCTCCAATGGAGAATCCAGACATTTCTGTTGGTATATCCTGCTGTTATCAACTATAGAAACGTCCGGTAAAGGTCAGACATGTAATAAATCCATTCAATTTCAGTATCTTCTTTCACAAAAGAATCTTCCTGTGTTTTATGACTAAAGAGAATTGTGTTATACACACTTCTTCCAGACAGAGGAAAGGAAAACACTGCTTTTTTTAAATTTTCCTTTCTAAGGGGACATTTTCAAAAACAGCCATTTGTTGCTTCTTTGGCTAGTAATTATTCAGTTATTCATATGAAACATGTATCCTAAACTAGCTTGAAATATTTTTTTGAGGTTTAGATGAGAACTGTAGAATTAATACTTAGAAACAAGATTTACTTCAAAAACTTTCAGAGGCATAATCTTGTACTTTTTCTCCTTGTCAAGAAATGCCTGATATTGCTCTTCAACAGCAGAAATCTCCTACCTTAATTCATCAATTTGTATTCTAGATATGTAGTTGATGAGGGGTGATTTGTCAGACACTTTTATGACTTCTCATTTAGAACTGCATCACACATAGCATCAACCTCCCACACAGAAATAAAAATATGAAAATTTGAGGCATAAAAACATGAAAAAAAAATAATGGAATGTTTCATGTGTCCTATCATTGTTTGCAGCACTGATAAAGTAACAGAATGCCCTTTGAAAATGAAATTACAGCTACCTAAGAGGAAGAATTAAGAATTAACCAAAATAGAAACATTGTTTTTTGACCTTGTATTTGATCTCAAAACAGAAAATCACAATAATAAGAAAAGAACTGAAGAGATTTCTTGTCTGGAAATTAAAGTGCTGGAGAAAATAAGATCAGATTCTTCACCAAAGAATAAAATGAAGAACCAACATCTTTTCCACAGGCATCATTTTCTTTTACCTAACACAGGGTAAAAAACAATACTGATGACACCCTTAACAAACATTATGTATGCTCCAGTGTTAGGACTCTGCCCAATGATATGTAAAGGAGAAACAGTCCAGCTGTAAGATATGATAGGAGAGAAAGCATTTATTGCATCAAATCTGTGAAGAAGTAAAAACAAAATAACATCGTCCCATTCTTACTCTTTTTCCTCTGCTTTTCCCCATCCCATTCCCATTTAATTCCCAGATAACAGGAGACAATTTTCAGAAACTAAAATATGTGTGTGACATAATTTGCTCTGGTAGTCTGGGAAACGTGAGAGACTGAAGTAAGCAGAAAACAGTTTATTTGAAATTAAAAGAGATCAATTCACAAGTTCTTTAGTCTGTTGGCAACAGGAGACTATAGCAATTAATTTATTTAGTCCTGTAATATCACTATATCCACTGAGCTTTGTCAAGAAGCAGTATCATTTATAAACATTCTCCATTTGCTGAAAACAAACAGAAAATGTGCCACGAAACACTCCCAGAGTATCTGTTTCTTATTTAAAGGAGAGAAAAAAAAATAACAACAGTCCTCTCAAAAGAGAGGACTTGTGTGTCATCAGATTCTGCTAGCAAGGAAAAAGAGATATGCCCTATAAATCTAGTTAGGTACTTTTGAGGGATGTGGAAACCAGCCTTTTGTGCTGGAAGGGAGATGAGTGCAATAGTGCAATGTGTTAGTGCCATGTGAACATTATAGACTCAAAACTATTTATACAACATCTACATGTAGTGCATAGAATTTCAGAGAGATTCCAGAAGGAATTGTATATGAAGAAAAAGGTATTTTTGCCAGTATGCTAAGATTTGAATAAAAGAAAAACTTTTTTTTTTTTTTCTTCATACGGTTCAATGGAAAAAGAGCTTACTGAAATGAGCAGCCCTAGAATCTGGAAAAAGTTCTTAATGTGCTTAAGTGGTCAGAAGACCACAATGTAAATATGTGCTCTAGATGGGAAAGATGATATTTTAAAGTAATTCCCTTTCACTAGATTTGGTTACATTAAAAACTTCATGTTCTCTCTAGTGAAAACAAATTCTGACCAAAGCCCGTGTTTGATATCCAAGACCGGTGTCATTTAGAACAGTCAGGCATCCTACTGAAAAACTGTAAATTAAAAGATGATTCTGATTTATTGAAACAACCACAAATTAAATATCTTCATCGATTTTAAAAACGTAACTCACTAGATAAAATCATCTGCATCAAAACCCAAGGTACATTGGGTCTGACACCACAAAGATGAATATATACACAGTGAGAGTGATCACAAGTGGCAAACCTCAGGGAACAATACTGTTTAAGATTTTCATTAATAACCTGTGTGATAAGGTAGAATTCTTCCTTCTTAATTTTACTGACAACAAGAAGTTTCGTATGCTGAGGTATCAACTGACAGCAAAGTTCAAAAAAAAAGGAGTAATCCTCCACCTGAAGAGGAATAACTCTGTGTATCTGTAAGGACTGGGGACTGACGCTGGAGAACTGTCCTATAGAAAAGGAGCTAGAAGCTGTTGTAAACAAGATGAATGGCAGCAGCTGTGAAAATCAGGGCAGTAATATGACAAGAATAGTCAACAGACCTAGAGAAGAGATACTTTCTTGTCACTGTTAAACTTCCTTCTTCAAGTTGCAAGAGTGTAGGTATTGTTATATAGGCAGCAAGTAGAGCATGCATGTCAGCATGTCAATAGGCAGCATAACACATTTCTTATCATTAATTTGTTTATTCAAAGAAAAAAATCAGCTCGGAGAGATCTGAATCAGTGTGGAAAACAGATTTATAGAAGTAAATAGAAAATATGGAAGAGGAAAACAAGAGCAAAGAAGAGGTTCTGTTGTCTGACAAGAAGTTCCTGGTGACACAGGAAAAGCAACTAAGATGACTGAGTTTGCAGAGAATAGAAGTCATAGGAAGAAACAAGAGACCACTCAGGCAGAAATCTGCATGGACTGAGCACAAAGGATAGAAAAAAGATGAAGAAGTGGACACTGGAGAGGAGGTTCAGAAAGAAAAGTGGTATCAACTTCTACAGTGGCAGAAATGGTACATGTAGTTAATTCCTGAGGTGAAGAAGGGAGAAGAAACAGAAGCACAGAAGTCAAGGAAGTTATATACTACAGAAATACTTAGAATGGATATTTTTATTTGAATAGATTTTCCATCTGAAAGGCTCCCAAATCACTTTAGCCACTCCATTTAATTTATTCATCCTAAGTATAGGAATACTGGAGATAAATTAGGAAAGAACATCAAACACTGAGCTCTTTACTGACACAGGAGTAGTGAGTCATAGGGATGTGCAGAATCATAGCCACGTAGACGTAGGCTGTCTTCGTTCATTAATGATATAAAACCTGTCAATGTAAATCTTGCTACCATTTCAAATCCCAACATCCTAGATTATGACTAACAAGAAATACTCAGCTAAAGATTCTTTGGCCAGTGCATACACAAAATATATGTATACATATACATATATGTTCATCCAATCTGAATGAAACAGTTGGACTTGATCTTAAAGATCTTTTCCAACTTGAGAAATTCTATGATTCTATGATTCTAAATGATTCTGAACTGACTCTGATTGAAGCACAGAACCAGCTATGTTTGTGACAAACAGCCAATCAGCTCTGATAATCCAACAGACTACGCAGAACAGGGCAAACAATGTATCCTTTTATTCATGCACATGCACTCAACCCAGAGGTTTATGGCAATCACCCATAAAAACACAGCTTTTTATCTCAGGTAAATAGATAAAGCTCTCTCCGTTTTCCTTTATCTCCACTGTGATGTATATGGTGCAAACATTGGTCTAGTGGGATGGGTGTTTCTGCTGGAAATGTGAACCATTCCATTGACGTCAAAGGCAGTAACCTCCAGCAGCACCATGTCAGAAACTGGAGTATGTTTTGATATTTCCTAATGTTACATTTCAAAATTTCTTCCAGTTGTTTTTTTTTTTTTTTTTTTTTTAGCAAAACTCTGCCTGCTCCAATTGCTCCTCTACCTATATATAAACTGAAATGAAAGGCTTTACCAAAAAAAAGAAAAAAAAGAAAAAGCAATTCATATACAAATGAGAATGTCTCCATTTAGCTATTCCTCTTCTTTAATTGACTTGATTTCTTCTAATTCTCCTTAATTTTAATCACTTCTACAATTAGCATTCTGATAATGGCTCAGACTCCAGCTGGCTATGGCAACTGTTTGATGATTTATGGTACATAGGGTCTAAAAGGTTTTCTCTCCTTGGAAAACTTCTGGGAAATGAGAAGGCATAGAGATAACAGGGATCCCATTCCTGTTTTGCAGAACCTTTTTTAATCATACTTGCTGTACCCTGATTTCTGTCAAGATCTTCAGAACTTAGCAACAATTTCTCAAACAAACACCAGCTATGTTGGACTTACAGAATGTGCACCATTAATTGATTTGCCCACGTGCAAAGTGACTCCACACAGCCTCTGCAGCAAAATTGAAGTTGCTGCCATGCAGTGTAAGTATTATCCACATACAGACAACATAGGGTCCAGCAAATCCTCCACATTTCAGTAACAGTATTTTAAGTAGCAATGGTGGTCAAATGCTTTGAATTATCAGGAAGTATTTCCAGGGCTGCATAAAACTCAAAATTAATTTTCTTCAACTGCTTTCCAAAGTAGGCCTTCCATATACAAAATCTGAAATAAAACCAAGTTTTAGACAAAAAATATTTAAAAATAAAGGTGATTTCATTCAGTGTTCCTGTAAGCAGCAAAAACAATATTTGTTTGTTTGTTTATTTAAAGGGGAACCTGTCTATTCTCTTAATTAGCTATTTCTATTGAAGGAGACACCCACTTTAGAGATGATGAAGTAGGAAGAAATGTGTATTTTCATGTGAATTTGCAAACATATTGACTAGAAAATTCCAAAGCTTAATTTTTTATAGTTTCCTTTGGGCACACCTATTTAAGCACCACCATAAAAAACAGTACTTCTGGTGAGTTATTCATCTACTTCAGTACTATTTACCTAATTAAAGAAAATGTGTTTCATTTTTAGCATGTGAATTCCTCTCAAGCAATAGTTATTTAAGTCATTTTAACTACTTTTTAATTAGTCACTTCAGTGTACTCTTTAAGATTGTAGCCTGTGACCTTTCAGTAAATGAACCATGTACTTGTTCATTTTCCCTTTTCTACTTAATTTTCAGTGCTTTCAGCATAGTCAAAGAAGGAGCTAACAGATTGTTCATCTGTTCTTTTTACTGGAGTGGTTTGCACTCAAGCAGCAATACTAGAAGATTATTTATCCTCTCCCCACCATAAAGAAAAAAGAAAAAAAAACCATCTCAGACAAATAAGCTTCCAAGAACTTCCTCATCAGATGTAAAATCTCAGCAAGTTTGGAGTTTGTTTTTGTCCGTATCACTTATAAAGTAAAAGGTGGGAAGAAAAGGAAGGAAGGATAAATTCTCTGAAGATGTGCAGTTTAGTTCTGGGGGATTTGGGTTTTATTAGCACTGTTTGTTGTTTCTCTGATACACCACAATAAGATGAAAAAAAATTCTAAATTTCTTATAATTTTTTTTAAATGTGTAAATAAAATGATTACTTTTTTCTTGCTACTGAGACATTTTACTTTGTTCGTGTTCTGTATATAAACATGAAGAAACAAAACCATAAACTGAAAGTTATTTTGAAAGTTACAGCATTTCATTCTAACAAAAAGGAACAATTCTAATTAATCTAAGCCTAACCTAAATGATCTTCTAACTGGAATTTCATTGAATGCTGATGATCTCAATTAAAATAGCATCTCATTATCTGGTAGATGCCAATAGCTCTGAGCTACGATTAGGGATTTTTAGCAGTTGCTTAATACTGCCCTACTATTAAACATCTTCAGAATGCAAAAGTTTGTGTCTGAATTTTTTTCTTTACACTCCCTTTATAGTTAGGAGAGAGAAAGAAACATCACTAGGCTAGGATGTCTTCTCAGGGCATTTGACTTTAAAGAGGATAATTCTAGAAACATATGTTCTCTGCTGCAGCCTGCATGACTAGAGGAATTATCTCAAGCCATATATTGACACTAGGGAACAAGAATATGGTGTGTTTGCATATGAATAAGCAAACAATAATGTCATACACCAGTGGCTCCCCGCCCCTTCATCCCCTCTTCCACACTTCCCCTGCCCCCCCAAAAAAGACTGAAATTCCTGGAATTATATGTAGTAAAATCTCTTCTTTTTTGCTTAAATTTTCACATTCTTGATATCAGTCAACTCTGTCAGAGTAGACTGAATATACGCTGAAGGGTTTTAGTGACCAGCTGGCCCTCTCATAACTCTCAGAAACTCTTCACCCAACCTGCTTCCAGACTGTAGTGCTTGAGGAACATATGCATGGGAGAAAATCTGTCACAGGGTTCTGAGGAGGGTTCTACCAGCTCAGAGGCTCAGGACTGAGCAGTGCCAATAAAAAATGCTAAGAGAATATGGGAATGGGTTATGCAGAAGGGAGCCTGACCCATGATATCACTCATCTTCTCATTCTTTCCCCAGCCTTGGATCTTCCATATGTTAGGATCCTCCTCAGGTAAATGTTGACAAAAGAGTTAATTTCCCCACTCTCTCTCTCTCTCTTCCCTCTCTCACTCTTTTTTTTTTTTTTTTTTTTTGTGTGTGTGTGTGTTATTTTGTGTACTTTCGTCCTCCACAAAATATTTAACCATAAATTCTACAAACACCAAATACTTTTCATTCTTAAATTCTTTTTTCTGTCTTCTCCATTTCTTTAAGAATACTGGCTGCAATAGGTGAGCATGAATATATCAAAGCAGTTATTTTTGTGACTCTCCTTCACTCATTCTTACTTCCGAAGTGTTCTTGAGCTGTTACTTCTCCCATTCCTGTTCAGTTTATCAGTATATATTTAAATAAATAACTTGATTTCATTAACTAGCTCCTGGTTTTATCCCTGAGACAGCAATGAGAAGGAGATATGAGGTGCAGTAATGCTGTAGACCTACTTTAACACGTGGAGCTGTTTGGGACAATAAGCATATAAGATATAATGAAAACAGCTTTAATGTTTAGATGTAGAATGTCTTCAGTTCACACTGGACTATGTGGCTGGGGGAGGACTTTAGGATTTAGCACTTGACTATACTGTAAGTATATTACAGATGATTTTAAAGCATTAATTTTATCATCTTTACACACAAGCCATTATGGCATTATTTCACCAGTATAGACTGATATCTGACATGAAATAGCTCTGTGGCAGAGTTGTTTTTTCTCCATAACCCATTCTGAGTGCAATGTAAATTAGTAGCAATTAAAGTAGCTGCTGGCACTCGCTAGTATAAAATTAATTGCATGTTGTCACGTATTTTTTTAATGATGGGGAAATAAAAGATTGTGCCCATGGTAGCAATCCAAGATTGCTCCCTAGGTAGAAGCAAGGGAGAAATGTAAGGAGGAAGGAACAGCAGGGACAAAACATTATTTATTGGTTCATCACAACATGATCTTTATTTCCCATTCTCTGAGCTACTTGGAGGTTGGCATGGAAAAAGGGGCTGGGAAAAGGCAAGGGAAAGGTTTTAGCTTTGTCTTTTTTTCTCACTGTCCTACTGTATATGTAATTGGCAGTAAATTAATTTTCCCCACATTGAGTCTGTTTTGCCTTTGACATTAAGTGGTGAGTAGTCTCCCTGTCTATTTTGACCTGCAGGCTGTTTTCCTATTTTCTCCCTCTCTCCAGTTGATGGAGAGTGTGTTTCTTGATGGGGGGGGTCTGGCTACTAGCCAAAGTCAGCTCACCACAGAAATAATCCACGATTCATTTTCACTTTCTGTGGTACAGCAGAAAACAAGTGCTAAGTTTGTGAACAGCTCCACTACAGCTACAAAATATGATGTAGGCAGAAAGCCAGTCACTGGACAAACTGATTGGTTTCCTAGGCAAGCCTAAACACCAGTGAAGGCCATTATCCAACTTGATGAGGGATGTGACTAAAGCACAATAACTTTCTGACTTCCAGCCAGTACATATACTATGAGTTTCCAATGTGGAAGCTATCCGAAGGAAAACACAGAAAGATATTCACACTGTTTATTTCCCAGTTGTTCATCAAGAAAAACATCTATTTTGAAATATGAACCCGTGAAGTAAAAGAGCAACATTTAATTAATATTAATGTTAACATTGATATTAATATTGGGCGTGGTTTGAGTATTAAGAACAGGCAAGGAAAACTGAAATCAACAGAAATGAGGTCAACAGAAATGACTACAGCCATTTAGATATTGCCTGTGTTAAAGCAGATGTTAAGCGATGTTAAGAGAGATCAAATTTAGATCTAAAACTCCAAACAGTGTCCTTCCACCATCAACTTGCACCATCATCAAGAAACTGAAAGTTTGCCTGCCTTTATCAGGAGAAAATTTTGTATTATTCTTACGATGAACTTGTCAAAAACCAGCTTTCATACGCACTGCATCATGAAATGTTTTCCAAAGTAGACTGGCAAGCTGTAAGATTTGCTTTCTAGTTGCCAGTGACAGTGTAGAGTGATTGACTTGCATCTCAATATTATCTTTGATTAAAAAAAGAAGAGCAATCCTAAATTACTTAAGATCAACAGCAGGAGAGTTTTCTCCCCAGACTAGATTGCTTTATATTTCCTGAATTCTGCAGTGTTCCACATCCTTCAACAAGCTTGGCCATCCAAACAAGACTGGCAGCATCTTACAGATGTAGTGTTTCTATGAAAGAACAGTCTACCATAGGTATTTCTATTATCTTTTTAATACGTCAAAAAATTATACCAGTTATATCTGACCCAGCATTACATGGAGTAATGTATCTAAAATATAAATCTTTAATTTCCTGGAGAAAGTCTCCAACTTCTTGACTCAATCTGAGTACTTGATTCTCACTTATTACTTGTATTTGCCTACATTCATTCATATTGTATAGAGTTATTACTTGAAGAATTAAAGTGAGCGTTTGTAATGAAGTGGGGAGAAAATCAGAAATGTAAAGGGACATTTTTTTTTTTCTGAGATGCATGAACATCTGCCACTATTCTGCAGTGAGTCATAATTTGACAGCATAATTCTACTGCATATAGTGCAGCTTGCTTTATCCACAAGACGTTAGTGGATGAGTGAATTCCTTTCACATTACCAGAGCTATTTTTGTTGTACAAAAATACCTCTTTGTCTTGATATGCACATTTTCTTTCCACAAATTAGCAGAGTCTAGAAACATACAGAAGAAAGGATGGCACCTTGCAAAGAGAGATGAAGGAAACAGGGCTCCTGAGTTGCTTGCAGGCTACATCAGGTGTAGGGAGGCAATTTTGGGACTTCACACATTACCACTGTATCTGCAGGGAATATGTGAGTCACTCTCACAGGACCCACAGGCAACTGCCAGAAATACTATCCTGTCTGTAGTTTGGAAAAGAGGTAGGCCCTCTTGACTATGATAGTTTATAGCATCCTGGGAACACTTACAAATACACTTATACTTTTATTTGTCTTAATGAATCACCCACTAACACCTTTTTTTTCTTTTTTTTTTTTTTTGCAAATTCAGAAAAAGCTTTTAAGCAGAGATTCTTTAATGTTTCTTATTAACATCTATAGTTTTCCTGCACACAAATGAACATAACTGAAAGCCACACAAATGAAAGATGTTTCAGGCTTAGGCTCAAGAAGTACAGCTACTGAAGGAGCTGGATTTCCCTTATTTTCTTTTTACTCCTGTTGGCTTACAGAACATAAAACTCGTTTTACAATGAATAGCCAAATCCTAATTCCATCAAAGGAAAGCCAAGCTTTTCTGACAGGACTAACAGGAAACACTGACCTTTACTTCAGATGATTTTGATTTTTACAATATTCTTTACTATGCTACTGCAGAGCGCACTCTGACTCTAACTGCAGGTACTATATGGATTTGTTCAGGTGACAAATACCATATTACTTTATCAGGATAAAAGAAACATGTTGATTTACCTTACTCTTGTGTAATTTTATGTATACTTTACAACACACTAAACACTAATTGAACCAGTGCAACTACTTGTGCTAAACTTCTGTTTTAGTCACAAACTGATTTTGATTTAAAATATAGGAAAATGCTTCCTAGAAAACTTTACAATGTGTGCTGTGAAGACCTGTCTTGGTTACGTGGATATGATCTTTCAATCTGAGTACCTTTGCATGACACAGCCAATGAATGTGCTGACATAAGCAATGCAGCATCAACACTTTCAAAGAAATTGCCCAGACCACATTAGAACAGGAATTGGTGTATCTGTAGATGTTTAGAAACTTAGCAAGTCACCAGCACAGGACAGTCCATTCTAATTCAAACGTCTACTGGATTTTCATGAGTAAACTATTATTTATAATTTCAGTCAGTTTTTACTGTGTTTAAATATTTTTGCTAGTTTTACAGCTTTGCAGCAAAAATAAGTCCAAAGAAATGAGAATATCCATCAGATAGACTTCCCAGTCAGGAAAGCTCATGGTCCAGGTATATACTGACTTCTGTGTTGTCAAAAAGAAAGAAAGACAGGAAAAAAAATAATCATACTATAATTAGTTTATTTATTTGTATCAGATAATTAGTAAGACAAACATGTCATCTTTACCTTCCAAAGCTAAGTATTTGATATCTAGTTCTTGACTTGCTTGTTTGGTTTTAATTAATTACGTGTTTGGCTTGGAAGAATCTTGTCCCAGATGTCAACTTTTCCCTTTTCCATTAGTAGAGTTTTAATGCATTAGTGATACTGCCAAGAAAGTTTGACAAAAATGATTATAAGGTAACCTGAAATGGCCTAGTTTGTTAGTCTTCTGGATGTGAAGTGTTCTTTTCCACAGGCAACCTCTA